AATGAAAAATAATGCGGTGTTGGGGGACTTTATTTGCTTCTGCAACTGCCATTTCACTTAATTAACTAACCACAGTGATGCGATCAAATTGGAGAACATATAAATGCACACAAGGCAGTTTGCTAGTCATTAACGTATGTCATGCTGAAAGTTGCCGTCTTCCTTATTACTGTCGCCTACTACTCGGGTGCGTATTCATTTATCCATTCTAACTTAATCATTTACTGATCGTATCACGGTACTCTACAACTTAATGCACGCATTAATGATAAGTTTGGCCTGAAGAAATAGGCAATTTTCGTTACACATTGCATTAAAATCGTCGTCGCCCTAAACTCACAAATTAAATAGGCATTTGCAAAATGAATTTTAAGAAATTTAAATGCATGTTTACATCTGCGAAACAGGAGCTGAGCCAGTGCTATGGGGTTCTCGAATCGTTGGAACACCTGCGGGACAATCACCAACTATGTATTTCCGTCTTCCCAAATTTGCCGTATGCATGACACCTGTGTATAAATAGACGCTTTTTAACATGTTGGTAAACACTCTTATGTAAGCTTCTTCAACTCACAGTTTTACGTCATACATGGCAGCCTTTTGGATTGACATGGCTAATGCGTGCCATAAAATTCAATATCGCCCTGTCATTTCACCTGCATGCCCATGCATTAAAGGCTACAGTTAACGTTTTAATTTGTTTTAGTCGATAGTGGCATTGATAGATGGCATACGAATTCCGATCGGCATAAAAGATGGCAAGTGTTATCTTAATGATAATCAGGAGTGGGGTTCCCCTTGTGAAATGGATGAAGGTAAGCAGAACTTGGACAAAACTCCTCTCTTCTATGCATAGCTCTCACCATTTAATTATTTGTCTATTATAATAAGTGAATCCTCACGTGTGACTAGTTAAGGGCATCAACACTATGTTTGGCACATCGATAACATAAACTGCTGCACGTTGTTTCTGTGTAAAAGCGGTAGTGGTGACTGCACAATATCCATGTGCTCAGGCAAAGGTTAAGAAATCCAATCTTTCGTAACTATATGGGAACATTGTATGTAATTTTAGAAAGTGCCAACATCACTCTGAAGGACGTATCCAAACAGGAGGCATTACAAATATTAAGTCTACATCACCTCACGTCTGCAGCATTTTTCGTGCCAACTTGTACTTTTCAGAAGCCAAAGCAAGGTGAGTAGATAGAGCTGAAGAAATGTGTGCCGAACCTTTGCAAGATAAACGCTTGTAAATGCTTTCCTTGGGAAGCAGCATTTCATGCGGTCACTGTGGTTTATGTGATCCTCGAGCCCTTCATTTACTTGACAGTTGAGGGCAAGTAGAGTTGGGAAGTGTAATCTCTAAGTGTTTTGCATACAGATGAAGTCGATTTGCAGACGTCGTTTCCACTTTCTCGATTTGGGAAAGGGCAATCAAATGTCGAAGTCGCATTAGCTGCCCAAGGTGCAAGAAGCCAAAGCGTGGTACGTAAATCCTTCTCAGACTTGTTAGCTGCACGGCCCCCTCCATTTCTCACAATTTTCGCTCAGTACCATTCTTCAACTGCCTATGATTTTGTGCTCATAATTCTCTCCATTCTTCCGCATTGCAATATAGGCTGCCCTAATAGTGAATGGCCAACTGGAGTGTAGATGGGAAGGAACGAGTCTGGAAGTATCTCATTCACCTTTCTGCCGTTAGTTTGATGCACTTTCAGTTGAGCCATTTGCCATGCTTATTAATGCAACTGATATGCCAATTGCACTCTCTTCCACTCATTCAAGGTAATATGTCGAATGATACAGGGTCCGATCTAAGAACATTTGTTTGGAATGTTACACGAAATAACACTGTCAATTATACCACAATTCAGTGGTCTGCAGGAAATAACGCATTGGCAGTCAATATTGACTGGACACAAGATGGTGAGTGGACATCCCAACTTTCTTTGCAATGAGTGCCTTGGTTAACAATATTTCACGGTGTAATGTGTGTAATGAACTTGAGCAACACACAGTTTATTCAAAGTAACTGACAACTCTGTATTGCTTTAGGTGCATCGCCAGAAATAGAGGAATGCAACAGTGAGTTCAAGTGCATGACTTCCACAACAGTATAAATGTCAAGCATCACCTTGTGCACTAAAATGCATTTCTACTTCTTGTTTGCAAACTTCTTTAACCGCCGTGAAGTACATTAGATTGCTAAGGAATAGTCCGTGTTAATTCAATATTATAGAAATATATATATATATATTACATTCATTTACTCGACGTATCTTTTAGGTTATCGGGTTACAACGAGTAAGTGAATTGAATTGCATTATAATTGAAAATGTAATGTAAAGCTAGTGGAGATGTTTTCCGTTCCAGAATTTGCGACTCCATTAATTCCTGTCGTATTTTTCGATACAATTAAGCTGCACTGTGGGCATGTTGTGTTTAAGCCTACATTCAGTCCTCAGCTTTCTCTATCCGACAGACATTGCCCACCTTCCCACCCTAGGCATGTAGCCAAGAATTCCAAAACCATATTTACCAATTTTTGTGTAGAAATCAAAGCAATTTACTTGGATACAGAGTCAATGTTCCAACACACTTTACTTTTGGAACCGACAACAATGTGTAGAGCAGGTGTATGAAAAGAGTAAGGAAAAAAAGTGACTCGAACAATATAATCCAAATAGTAGCATTTTGCAAACACTGACACGATAAAAGGGGAATAACAAGGGCTTTGTTGGTATTACATTGTCAGCTCTACAAAAGTTCACGAGCATTGCGATAGACAGCCATGATTGTGCCGAGTCGACAACTATGAAGAAATAGTGGAGGAACTCGGTATTTAGAGGCTTTCATCAGGCCATTTCGAACTAGCACTCAAATAGGTATTTGCTTTGCGTCTACTGCACAAAATGTTCGACTCGCATCAATAGTAGAAAAGAAGCTATTCAGTTCCTATGTCAAGCCAACTTATATAAATACATCAAATGTTGAGGTACTAAGACTGGGCTGGTCTAAAATATGCCTATTCCATGTGCGAATTCGGCAGGTACACATTAAGTAGCCAGACATCAATGAACTCTAGTTGCATTTAATCTGAACTGACCCTACTTTTGATAATTTAATGCTGCCACAACCTCTTCCGGTAAGTTAATGAGGCGACTATCTTGATACGTCCCCACTACTTTGACGCAAAAATTTGTTGATACGTCAACCAAACTTAACATACTCTTCACCAGTTGCGATACCAACATATTATTAGCCAAGAATCACATGAATTACAGTTGTATTTGAGATGAAATCATTCCTATTTTGATAATTTTATGCAGCACCTGCGGTGACAACCA